TACATGATAAACTGATATTAAATAACTAAAGAAATGCATCAGATCAAGTAAGGGAGGGGAAGAGAGTAACAATATTAAATGACAGTATATCCTTCCTCTTACTTCTCCTATATGTTGTTTTAATTCTCCAACAGTCCAACCTTCTTCCCCTCTCACTGGTTTAGCTGGTCCTACTTCACCAGTTGACAGATTAACCACTGATACCTTTAGATTAATACCTACACCATCAAACACATTGAAACATTGTCATATGGTAACAAAGCACACCTCCATGACTGTATTTTTTAAAAGTTTCATTTTCTTTGCGAGTTTCTAAGAATAATTTAAAAGAAGAATGAACTCTAGCACTGCCTACAATTTGCCCAATAGTTTGATGCTGAAACTAAATCTATAATTATAACAAATAGGATACATAAAATTTAATTACCTCATCAAGATCAAAGGACTGATCCATTACTTTATCTTTAATATTATATTCAACTAAACGACATCTCTCAATAGGAATATGAGGAGCTAATCCCATTAACTGATAAAGAAATGAACAAAAATGATATAAACAGCCAAACCTCATAAGCTTTATCCAGTACACTGGGTAGTAATTCATCTTTATGAACATTAAGAAATGAGCTTGTTAATTTACCAGTAACAGGATCATTGCAAGATAAATAAATCTGTAAAATAAAGTAAGTAGATAGTTGATCTGTCTCACTCTAGTATATACCAAACACATTTCTTTTTTAATTTTTCGCTTCTTTTCTCTCTGTCTCTTCTCCTCAATCTCTTTCAAATCTATGAAAATATTTCAACAATCAAAATTAATGATGACACACATCATCAATAAAACCTTCAACATCTTTCATAATCCTCTCCTTGTGTTCTCTTACAGTCATTAGTTCAATATTCAATAATGTTATTCTTTCTTGTAATTTCTCTATTATTCTTTTATTATCTACTAATGGCTGATAGTCTGGACTTGTCATTGCTTTAAGTTGAAATTTGCAGTCATCAATTTCAAGAGACATTCCTCTTCTCACTCTGCTAGCAGCTTTATAATTAATTATATGATTATTATTATAAATAATACAACTACTCTAACCCGAATCAGTATTAATAGCAAGTGACCTCATATGCTCAATCTTAATTTTTGATATTTTGTCTGACAATTCTTTGTTTTCTTTTTGCATCTCATTAAACTGAGACCTCAATACAGTCAACTCTTCATAAAGTGGCTCTTCCTATTAATAATTATTATAATTAATACAAACTAGTGAGATATTATACCTCAACTTCTTTTACTGATTCAGTATCACTTTGAACAAACAATAATAATTCTTCCTAATAATTATAAAATTCATATTAAAATAAAATATGTGATAAAAATGTGTTAGGAGTCATAAATTATTTGTTTACATGATGACAGTGCAATAATAGTGTACTATAGCTTACCTCAGGTACTGTCATTGTTGATAATTCTTGTTTTAAAGTAATTGTTTCCTATAATGTACAAAGAAAGATCATTTTACTTACGTGCATAACTGAACAGCAACTATGCATGCAATGTGGTGTACATGTACATTTAATAACTTTACACAGCAAACATAAGAGGAACAGTTGCAAGTAGTGTGAACTTTCACTAGTCATTGCACAGTCTGGTATAGTATGACATACCTTCTCTTTGCTACTGATAGCATCTCTTAGTTTATATTCAGTTTCTTCAAGTATAATATAAGAAATAACCTGTAAAAAAACAACATTACATCATCTTGTAATAACGTAATGTCGATTCTTTTTAGCAATACATTATTACATGTACATTTAAAACTCAAACTATACCTCTGTGTGCTGTAGTAAGTCTTGATCCTTTTCTTTTAGTTCCTATACAATACAATATTCATAAAACAATATTCAATTATTCATATTATGTACCTTTAGTCTAACATCTTGTCTCCTCCATAATGTTAAGTTACCAATAGTCAGTTTCTTTAATCCTTGTCCCATTAGCATATGAATATTCTCTATCATCCTCAATACAGTAAACCCAACATCAGAGAAAGGAAACGAGCAAGTGACACATATTGATTTGTTAGGCTCTATATACTCAATCCTCAGTAGTTTACCGGATACTTTAGACAAAACACCCTTGATATCCTGCAACAAATAATCTTCAGGCTTCCAGTCAAAAATAAAGGTAACGGTTTCACACTTCAGATGAGGAAAAGAGCCAAATCTTTTTTCCAGACAAAGACTAACTGAGATTGATTTGTAAAATTCCTTCAACTCTGCTCTATATGTCTCAATGCGTTCCTTTGCTTCAATGATCTCCATTTCTTCTACTATGCTATAAAGGAGAGTAACATCGGTTAGTGAACACTCGTCTTTAACATGATGAAGGATGCTAGAAATATCTGAACACTGCTCTACTTTTTTACGAAAGGTGACACTATAATAAGACAGGAATTCCTTGATGTCATCCACATTCAGTTTTCTTTTTAAAATCTTGCAAACATTATAAAACATCCTTGTGTAAGAAGATTGCATTAATTTAAAATCTTGAAGTAAATGCATTGGAACAGGTATTTCAACTACATGTACATTAAAGTATTAATAATAGATGCAGATAATAAACTCAATGCTACCTTGAGGTGATAAAGGCTGTGAAGATGAATTACTAACAACTGCTCCATCAGAAGGACTAGACGTGACTATGAATCAAAGAATAAATGTATCAATTCATTTTATTGCCATGTTTATGAGATACCAGATTGTGTATGAGCTGGTGCCTTAGTTTCATCAGTACTTGTATTATCTATAAATATTAATGAATGTATTATCAATTAATTAAATAATAATTATTACCTTGTGGAACTACACCATGATCTTTAATAGTCTCAGGAACCACACTTACTTCAGGAGTAGGAAAATACTTACCTAAACCATAAAGATCAGTTTAATTAACAACATGACATCATGCAACGACACCATTATTATTATCATACTCACTAATATCATCCAGTATAGTTTGTCCCAGTGATACATTAGTACTGATTGTACACAATACATTAGCAAATGTATGTAAACTGTTGGGATCAGTTTGAACAGCTTCTTTGACAGCAGTTAATAGAGCCTCACGTTGATTAGGAATAGAGGGACTAGCTGACACCACTCTACTAACTGCTTCTTGTGTTAACATACGTTCACCATAAAGTAACCAAGCAATACTAACAGGATCACAAAGAGACTGAGACAGGACAGTATGACGATTATTAAAAATATTAATAAGAGCATGATGTTCTATGATAGAAAATACAATGGTTATAGTTACATACAGTTATGGTTGACTCACTTAACTTCTCAGCTACAGCAGTTTCATTCATAGATCCTAGAGCATCTGACAGTGAGTCCAAGTTCGCTCCTCCTCTACTGTCAACATTATCAGCTCTACGTAGCCATTGAGAGAGACACTCTGTCAAGCATTGATTCACATCACCATGTTGCTCTGCTTTAATGGCTTCCAGTGTATCTTTCAGTAGTCCTAGTCTCAGTCCCAGCTCTTGCCACTTTGTCCTTTGAAAGCTACATTTCTTCAACAAGTCAAGAACATCAATCAAGTCACCAATATCTAAAGGTAAACATCAAAAGAGTGGATTTAGAACTAAGAATGTACCTAGACAAGTTTCACTAGTGGCCATCTCTGTAGTTTCCTTTAAAATGGGTGGGGCTAAAATATTTTTGGAATTGGGGAAACCCTGGAATGCAATGCTGTAAATCACATCTATGATTACATCACTCTGTCCATGATGAGTAGTGTTACTATACTCATCATGGACTCCTGCAGCTACATATTACCTGCACTACTGCAAAAACTAATAAGATATTGGTTTAAGTAGTACAGCAGGACGTACTCTATAAATACAAAAATTATTTTGATATAATTAATTAATCACACTTAAACCAATAGTGACATTACTATCCTATTAGGAAGAATTATATGAGAAGAGGAAGGAGAGAGAGAGAGAGAGGGAGGAGGGAGAAAAGAGTTAGTGTGTGCAACAGAGAAAGAAGATAAAGAAACACAAAGATCTGTGGGCAAGAGGGTATCATGTTGGTGATGATTTTCTATTAATTTCAAAGTGTATGTGCGAGTGTTTTTGAACTAATGACCAAACATAAGGAACAAAGAACTCATCAGGTTGGGACTCTTCAACATAACGGAACTTTAACTCAGAAAATTTCTATGAGAGAGAAGAATAAAAGTACTGTATATATTTTTTCCTTTTTCATTTACTCTTAATCTGCTTCTTGGCCATGTTTTTGAATATTTCTTAATGATATCAGTCACGAATTGAGCAGAAAATGGAGGAGTGCCATCCCTCTCGACATTATTTGCAAAAAATGTAATAACCTACACAAAAACAAGGATCTATCAACCTCTTTCTCTCCCTCTCCCTCCCTCCCTCCCCTCTCTCTCTCTCCTCCCCCCTCTCTCTCTCTCTTACCATTTCAATATTATTAACCAGGTCTATAAAGCCAGGTCGTCCATGATAAGGTGTGAAAATCTCTCGTTGATAAAGCAGTGAATACACAAAGTGAGGATTAACATGTAGAGTGTACGTTAAACTCGAATTTATGATTTCTAATAACATCAACAATATCTCCTGCAGTGTCTCTGTGTCAGCCTATAAACGACACCCATCATTAATTAAATCATTAATATTATTATTATTATACTTACCAGTTCTGTGGGTGTGGTAGGTGAAGTAGGTGTGGTTGGGCTGGTGGGTTGGGCTCCAGTTATTGCTGGTATTGGCTCTCCTTTGGATTTAAGATACTTCCTACTCAGTACACGAAATAAACTGAAGAAAGAGAGAGAGAGAGAGAGAGAGAGAGAGAGAGTAATAGCAACCCCAAATTTTTATTACATTTTCTGATACACATTGATGTCCTTATGCTGTGTAGAAAGTTTGAGCTGATTCTGACAAAAATTTTTCGAGTTACGGCCATTTTAAGAATTATGCCAAAATCTGAAAAATACCCAAGGCTGCATGGTTTTTTCCAAAAAATAGCTCCGAAATCACCAAAAATTTTTATTACATTTTCTGATACATATTGATGTCCTTATGCTGTGTAGAAAGTTTGAGCTGATTCTGACAAATATTTTTCGAGTTATGGCAATTTTAAGAAATATACAAAAATCTGAAAAATACCCAAGACTATAGCCCATGGTTTTTTC